AGAGAGAGAGAGAGAGAGGTTTGGGATGACTTGGAAGCTGACTACAAGAATACCAACTGGAAAGTAAAGAATGCGTTTTAAAAGCAAGTCATCTCAAGTGACATCATGAGTTCTTTATTTTTTGACAGGGAAGTATTGGGAAGTTAGCAGAGATTCCCACGAAACTAAGTAGTAATACCAAAAGCCAGTGAAATATCTGTTAGTCTTCCCTAAATGGCAACTTCAGCTTTAGTGAACAATTCCACAAACACTGATAGCCTCCGATCTTAAAGACAGGTGTCACTCTGCTTTTCTGCCTATAGAAGGTCATTGAAAGAAGCTAAAGCTCTCAGCAGCCGTTCACAACCAACTGTATACATAATAAGGAGGGAAAATGTCTTAGATTCCTTATCCTTCATTGAGGCCATCTTGCAACTGAAGTGGCAGCTTCATGGAAATATTTGGAAAGGATGGGATGTGTCCCTCAGTTTGCAATGCACTGCTAAGTAAAAATGGTCCTGTCTCTAATAAGAAGGCCAGGAAACAAGGGTGGAAGCAGGAGTGCCTCCGTGTATTATCCCTAATGAGCTCTTGTCTCTGCCACCCTGGGGTCTGCAGGGTTGGAAGACCTGGTCCTGAAGGGGACAAATTCTATAAATGGAACACAGAAAAGTACCACGGAACTACAAGCAACGGCTGCCACCTGGGCAGTTTTAATTCCTTATATCCAGAGACAGCAAGTGAAAAGAGAAACAGTTATGTGGAGGAATAACTGTCTGATCAGCAGGAGAGAGGGCTGCTTTGACATAACGGAGGTGTGGAGGGGAAGATATAGGGGAATCCAAGTGACCCACAGGGAATCTTCTGGTATTGCCTGTTAGCTGAGAACAGATACATGCAAAATCCTTAGACTGAGAATTCATGAACATCCAGTTTCTGGGCAGTTCAGGAATAAAGCTCTAGATGATACCACCAGATAAGCCACCATGACTCACTGAGGTAGCAACTCCAAAGAGAGAAATTTAGAATAAATGTTGTAGAAGAGGGAAGAGTATCAGTTGTGGTTCCAGGGTCAACAATGTCCTTCCAATAAGGTCCTCCACAAGTGTCCTTTAGAGAGAAAGCCCTATGGAACCTTGGAGGAATTGCTCCTTGGGCCTGTGTGGAGAAGTACAAGGTGTGGATTGTCGAGGTCATGTGAGGTCATATGAGGACATGTGACTATGTCTCAAGGGCCTCTTACCACAGGGCATTTAATTACTGAGTGCCACAGATACTTTGGAATCTATTGCAGCATCTGAGTTGAGTCGTGCTGAAGGCTAAAGGCAGTGGGAACATGTAGCTGGCCTATTCCTGCAAGAAAGGGAGACTTTGTTGACCAACTTTGATTCAAAGACTCCCTACCACCTTAGAATACAGAGCAGTTCTATATGTTTCATCTAACCCTCTGTCTCCCCTCTCCCTCCATTGAAGCCATCCTTGCATGGAAAACGGATGCCTTTTCAACTTTCTCCAGCTCCTTACTCATCTTTCTTCTCCACAAACATTTCTCCTGACACAATTCTTGCCATTTCATTCCACCTTGATCTCTGCTTGTTGTAGGACCTGAACTATAATAGCATTTTTTCATTTTCAATGGCAGTGTAATAAAGAGCTTTCATCTCAGCAGACAGACAATTGGCTTCACATAAACTGCTTGAGTACATTGAGGAATTAGGAGTCCTTTTGGGAAAATGACCAAGTACTTCACTTTGCTTCAAAAAAGCTATCCTCTTAAGTCAGAGAAGGCTACCACTCTTGTGGGCAGTGAAAGTGCAGTAGAAAAAAGGATATTTCTCTACCTGAACAGAATCTTCTTCAGTTAGAATTAGACAATTTTCCATCAGCCTTATTCAGCTGGAACTGAAAGGATTTGGCTTTTTCCAACATCTTAAAATCTACTACAGAATCAGCTCTCACTTATCTTTTACTTGGGATGACTTAGACCTTCATAAGATGGTGCTTAACAAAAACCAATCTGTTTCAGTCACATATATGCACATGAACTTAATCAAAGAAAATTGATTTTGTGTGTGCTCCAAGGATGAGCCAAGGAGAAATAATTCTAACTGAAAGAGAATGCTTCATCTTTGTATTTTGGAACATTTCCATACTGAAGACATAGCTATTTTTTTTAATGAAAAGAATAACCCAGCCCTTAAGGCACAAAGTCTTTTAAGATAAAGATAATTTTCAATTTGCCTTAAACAAGAGAGGAAAATAAAATGTAGGATGGAGAAAAGACATGAACTTCTTAGTAAATAAAATTAGAAAGTAATTTGCATGGATGACCTTGTAAATTAAATAGAAAAGTAGAGTAAAGAACACAACAAAATACTTTAGCTAAGGAATATCCAATAGGTAAGCTGAACACAGAATTGGGGCACTAGAAAAGTAAGAGTATAGGAAATAGAAAAAGTGCAGGCTAGAGAGATATTTTTAATAATGTCTTGCATTCATATTTAGTGCAATTTTTGGAAAATTACATTTTATAAAATGTCACTTATTATTGTTTTTATTTTCTGTAACACATGGTCATGAACACACATTTTGCAGTATTTGCACTCATCAAGGGTCCTCACTTGACCTGAGTTTTGGGGGGGGTGCGTCTCTGTATGTGCACACACATGCACATGTGTGTGCACTCATGTGTATACACCAGCTCCTCAGGAAGGAAAAGGCAAGTCTTGGGAGAAGTACCTTTCAGAATGAAAAAAGAGTAAACTTCTTCATCTAGAAGTAACTCAGCCTCACCAAAATGTGGTATTCCATACTCATCAGATCCCCCCAGTATTTTTCTACAAGAAATGTCCCTTTTGAACAGATGGCTTCTAACCCTGTTTCTGCTACTTTCCATCCCTTCTTCTTATTTTATCTTTCCATCTCATTTTTATGCTTGCATGGTCTCATGTATAATTTGGTCATCCTCTTTGAATTAAAAAGAAAGGCATTTAAAAATGTGAGCATTCTTCTTCCAAGGAAATCAAAATGCTTAACAACCCATTAGGCTCCACAGAGCCCTGGAGGAAAAACACAAAAGACAGTCAGGGAGGACGCAAAGAGGGTATAAAATTCAACATGGTAGATTTTCTATCCAGAATGTAGGAGGTTTGTCAAGTTGGAGTCCTTATTTGACCTATCTGCCAAAGATTCCCTATCATCTTTGGTTTATAACTTTAATTCAAATTCACTTCACATCCCAAATTTCTTTCTATATTTGCGATCATTTCCCATACACTTTAGCCAATCTTACTAAGCGATGACAAGTCATAGAGACCAGTCCAGCCCAATATAGATTCCCAGTAAATACTGGGTGAATATTCCCATTCATTTGAATACATAACTATTTAGTGCATCTTTAAGGCAAAATGCAGAATTAGCTGAAGAATCCCTATCTTGAAAGATTTCTGATCAGTGAGGTGGGATGCAAAAACATAAAGAAATGTTTTTTAAAATGCTGAAAAACAACACTTCATTCACTTTCTTTGTATTCTTGCTGCAGGCAGCATTGAACCTCATTTCCTCTTTGGGATGCTCTCAGCCAGTTCCCCAAGTTCCCGAAGACGAAGACGTGCTGGAGCTTGTCTTTGCTCTCTGTAGGTGGTTGCATATTTGAAGAAACCAAACTAGGTGATGGAGAAAGAGACAGATGGCCCTCTCTCTCGGGGAAGAATCAGGTTTCTCTTCTGTTTGGGACTCAGTCTTTTTCAGACCTGAGAAGACAGGTCAGCTAGAATTTATGGAGCTCAGCATAATGGTAGGCATTTAGAGTAGTTGCTCCATATTTGGTGGGACCTGGTATGTGCTATGCCGGGAGGCAGGCATTGCAGAAGCCGTGATGGATAGTTCATAGACCTTGCATTTCTGAATCCGGTAATAATTAATCAATTAAATATTTTCTGTCAAAATTAAGACCCATCTGAAACCTTTAGAATTTATAATCTAAGTGATGAGGTACTATAAGAGCCTAGTAACAAAAAATGAAAGGAGAGCAACAAAGTCAGTATGAACTGCACCCTGGAGGGGGGAAACATAATTTTCCTCAATGCCCTCTGTGTAAGGTAATCATATTTAAGTGAAATTACACTGCAGGTATAATAGTAATGATACATTACAGTCCTCAGTGATATTAATACAAAAATTTCTGTCACAAAAACTGATTAAATGCATTTTCTTTCTGTAGCCTCACACCAAAGCTTTTATTTGGGGTGTTCTTTCTCCCCTCCTATGACAATAAGAGAACACTGCCCTTAATTAGATCATCCAGCTCCAAACTCTAAGTTAGGTCAAAGCTGGGCTGAGATGTGCTAATCACTAGCAAGATAACTTTCAGAAAATTCCTGCATCTCCTTCAGCATCAGTTTCCCGTGTATAAAATAGGAATACTACTCATTTCTTGATGCTGAATGTCTATAACAAATGAAATAATGCATATAAAATATTTGAATTATAGTAAGTACTCATTAATTGATACCTATTATAATCATAGTAGTTGTGGCTGCTATAATTACTCTTGATGTTGAAACTTTCACCCTTGTTTACATGGAGATTATTCCAAATAATGTCTTCCCTTTCATATCAAGATGTGTATGCTCCCCATTCTCTCTCCAAATGTCTCGGGGTTTTTAGGAAACAGGAGCTAAGTCTTTAACATTTTTTGTACCTGAGCTTTTTGAATAAAATGCATACAAATTTTGGAGGCGAGATTTGGAGTCACCCTCCATAAAAAGTCTATTAATATTTATAGGTCTACTCAGGTTTTCTCTTTTTTTCTTGGTTATTTCTTTCCAGAAATTATTCATTGTAGTTTCGTATGTATTGGCATGATAGTTCCAATAATAGTATTTTGAAATTTCTCCTACTTTAGAATCAAGCCTTCCTTTTCACTGTAGATTTGCTCATTTGTCCCTTTTAGTTTCCTCAAACTGAGCCCCTTGGTGACCATGTGGCTGTAGTCAACCCAGATGCGAGAGTATCAGGACTGCTATGGCAAGGAAGAGCAGCCAGTGATGAGTCCCATTCACGTCCAGTGAATAAGCTGTTCTCTAAAATACCTCAGCCCATGCTTATACTAAGTTCTCTTCAAAAACATTTCTGACACTGAGGGGTTGCAGATAGCAGCAAACAGACACACAAATCCAACAAGTCATTTCTACGTGAAGCCACACTGCTTCTACCCCATTTGCTCCTTTTCTCAGCATTCCAATTTATTTTGAAACTTGAAAAGCCGGACAGCTTAATGTATAAACCAAAGGCCAAAGAAATATCTAGAATTCGGCTCTGTGCCTCGATGAGTGTGTTAAAAAGAAATGTGGTTAGAGAAGTGATAGAGTTAAGCACAGAATTATGCAGCTTGCTCATGTTTTATGGATTCTAATGGAGTGCAAGAGGGGGTGGACAGGAACAGCACTCTTCCAAATGATAATAGCCCCAAAATCATGCACTACTTATGATATAATTTTTTTTAATGAGGGAAGCTTAAAGTGTCACTAATCCTGATCTGCATAATACTTTTAGTCTTATTTTTTATTACAAAAGTTTCAAGGAACCATTGGACCTTTTGCACAAATGGATTATTAAAAGATTTATGTTTACAGACATGGAAAAAGAGAACAAAAACGAATCAGTCAGAAGATCACCAATGCAATTGGCAGCATTAAGCATAAAATTTTTAATCTCAAACCAGGATATAGGTAGGGCTACATGGGGAAGAAGACACTAAGTTTAGCTGCCACTTATATCTCCCTTTCAGTCTACCTACCTTGGTCAGCCATGAAGATTCCAGATTCTCGGTGCTCCAAGACTGTGCTTAGGAGATAATGCATTCTCAGTCTGTTTATAAATTACTAACACACCCTATATGTACAGCACCAAAAAGCTTACAAGGCATTTTCTCCAGTATTTCTAAAATTGCTTTCTGTGGTGTCCCAGGAAAATAAACAGCACAAGTATTATTTTCCCACTTTTACAAAAGAAAAAAGTGAGGCTCAGATTCAGAATCCTTAGTAGGTTCTAATAGGTGAAAATTCCATGGTGGATCTTGGGGGTGGTCACAAATTTGGGTCAGAATCCTAGCTCTGCAAGTGATCCAGTATGTGAATTTGCCAAAGAAATTTGTGCAAACTGAGTCACAGTTCTGCTCCTAACAAACTGTTGATGATCACATACCTGACATGGCTATGGTAAGGAACAGATGAACATACGGGGACCACCTCTGCATCCTGCAGAGAAGGGGTTCAGGAAACAGTAGCTCTCATTGTGCCCTGGGGCTTTCTAGCATGCCTGGATTCTACCACTGACGTCACCAGTTGGTGGTTGCCTAACAGAATAACTGTCATGAACACATTAAGAAGGATGCCAGAAAGGCAGTGTAAATTAATTAAATATATACAACCATGAAATATTCAGAACAGCTAGCTTTGAAAGGAGTTTTCAGAGAGACCTGGACATGATGTATGCTGAAATCCAGAAAACAATTCCCCATGTGTTTTCCCTGAAATGAATTCTGAACATAATTATTTGGGTGATAGGAAACATAGCACAGATCATGTCCAGGGGATTAGCAATTATCCTGTTCCTAATCACCATGGTAGTGTGGGCAAAAGCCAACGGGAGGCCAAGTCTACATCATCGCCAGATTTGTACCCCTTTATATTGATATACACTGCCAGGCCTCTTTGTGCTGCCTTATGAGAATTCTGATTTCAGGCAGGAAAGGATAAGCCTCAGTCGTTCATGAAACCGAATCTAATCTCCACGAACTGGCCAAAGGAAGAATTGGAAAAGCTATAAATCCCCATTCACTAGCAAAGCAGTTTCAAATTACACCGTGATCCAGTATCTCCCTAACAATGTGAGCAATAAATCTGTAAATAATAAGCAAATACAAATCTGAATTATTAACTCAGATTCTCCCCGAGGATGTACCTGTTATATTTCTTAGTGCACCTGTGTCCAGGAAAGCAGTTTACTTACAAACAAAAAGCTAATAAAATTCCACATACCCACCTATGGCCAAATCATAATGAAAGTCCTTTTATCAGCTAGGTAATAGGTAAGCAGTACTGTAAGTAGGAAAATGTTTGTACCCTTGTTAGAGCCATGGAAATATTTCTCCGTGAACTTTTGCATTCTGTGGGAGAGTTTATGCACCTCATAAATTCAGCTTGCACTAATTGGGGAGGTGCACCGAGGAGGTTGTAAGAAGGGGAATACACATAACAAAATATGTGAGGTGTGCCAAGGTTATTAAGCCTGGTGTTTACCAATAGCTAAGCCATGTGATCTGTTTACTTATAGGAGTTAGTCACCTGGTGGCTATTAGTTGCAGGGCCTGGGTCTGATTTTGGAGCTTTTCAATCAAGGCAAAAGCAAGCAGATCTTGCCTGCTGATTCATTACATAAACATTCATTCAAGTGACATGAATAAGACAGAGGATCTAGAGATAGGTTTAATTAAAAATGAACAAAGGGATTCTTGCTGATATTTTTGCCTGGACCCTTACATTCAATAACTGAGATTCAAGGCTTTTTATTTGAAGCATAATTTTACCAGCTGTTCCACAAAGACTGGTTTTCATCTTACAGATATGTGATAAGCGTAAACCTTAACTTCCATGCAAGGAACACAGTGAAGGGAACTTGCATTAGCTGCTCCGATTTCACAAAGAAAAAGAATCTGCAGACAAGATGTGCAGCAGGGAGTGAATACATTTTCCAGCTGTGTGCATGATTCCTCCTTCACGTTGTATGGGCAGCCCCACCTAGTTTCTTTGGCTTGGTGTTTTGTCCTGCATTTCGGCCCTACATCTGACACCGGCTGAGTGAACTGACTCTGGAAAACCTCACAGTTGTACTCTTAGTGACCTCTTAGGGCTGTGGCAAGGATTGATAAAATCATGCATGCAAAGTGCTTAGAAGTTGCCTGGATTTTTAATAAGTCATTGATAATTGTGGCTATCTTGTAAAGCATAAAAATTTGAAGGGAGAAAGGTCTGTCTGTAGTTACTGGAGATGCCAGTGGAAGAGACAGGTAAAAACAGAAATATTCAAACCCAGTAGGGACATGGGACAGGGACTGCAGTCTAGTTGGGGTGTGTCTGGAACACTACAGGGACAGATAGTACCATCCACCACAAACATGTATTGAGGGTCTACCAAGTGCCGAGTGGCACGCTGGACTATTTAGCCCGTTTATCCCCCTTATTTTACACATGTGAGGCTTTTTGGAAGAACCACCTTAGGTGCATAGAGGAAGGAAATTAGCTCTTCCCCAGCAATGCCTTTGAAACCTGCTCTTTGTAATTAAACTTTGGTAAAACTTTCAACTCATTTCCCATCTTTTCCTATAATTTTTACACATAACAAGTCTTCTCTGTGGGAGGCTTTTTCACTAGTTTAGTGTTTTCTAATATTAAATCTTTACTCTCTTAATAGATTTAAAATAACTCACACTGGGCTTGGTTCACACTCAGGCTTGGGAACCTGTGGTGAGAGGAAGGTGGTGATGAGTTTAGCATCCTCGCTGCTCCCTTGCTCTGCCTTCTACCTCTGTCCTGGTCGAGGACCTGGCTCCCTTTCCTCGAAAACTGGAGCAGACAGAAGAGAAGGAGGTAGGAGAACCCCCCAGTTGGAGCACTTTTAATCTGGCTCTGGGTCCACTGGCTGTGGCAGATACCCAGCACTAGCTCAGAGGGCTTTCCCCGCCCGCTGCTCCAGGTGTGTTTTTTCTGGTACTAGACCCCCTTCTAGCTCCTAGCCACACCTTCTCAGGCCCTGCTCTGACTGCAGAGTTACTTTTTGTACACACTTGGGCCATAGTTTTACCTGATTGTCCCTGCAAACTGTTCTCAGGGCCAGTCCTCAAAGCCTCTCTAGCCAGTTTGTCCCTTTCAAGGGGTCATGTGTTCTGTATTCTCCAGATTGAAGGGACATATGCAGTTCCTCACAGTTAACTCACTTGGGGTATGGTCTGAAC